AAACTACTCTATGGTAAGCCCCGCCCCCCCAAACAATATCAGGGCCAAAAGTTTGAAAGCGAAAAAAAAGATCTAAAAGCGAAAAAAAAGATCTGAAAGTGAAGAACGATCTGAAGGCAAAAAAAAGATTGAAACCTGAAAAAAAAAGATTTGAAACTGAAAAAATAATTGTTTTGAATCTGAAAATGTAAAATCTGAAACTGAAAAAAACAAGTATTCAAATATTAAAATATGTATAAAAGTGAAATATCAAAAATAAATATTTTATTTAAAAAAATTGCTGAACTGAATGAAAATAATATTCAACCTGAAAAATTATTTCAAATACTTTTTTTTGTTTTGAATACAACATTGTATTTTTCAAAGTTCAGGATGAAAACTTGGACTTTCAAATAAATTGTATATTTTTGAATGATCAAAACTTATGACCCTGAAATAGCTCCATACCCCCGCCGGCATGCGGCAACGCACGCCGCCGTGTGTAGGCTCCGTAAAAGAACTCCAGTCCAGTAGGAACGTAGGAACTCTAGTCCAGCAAGAGCTCCAGTCCAGTAGGAAATCAATTCCAGTAGGAACTCCAGTCCAGTAGGGAATCAATTCCAGTAGGAAATCAATTCCAATGGGAACTCCAGTCCAGTAGGAGGCGGTAATGCAGCTTAAACGTTAGGTGCCACCCGCCATTAAACAAAACGAAGAAGAAGACCCGGATGAACAACAACAACAGCTGGAAACGGCTAACATGCTAACTGAGTGATCCGGCTTCTGCTTCTTCTATTAATGGTTACGGTTTTCGTTGCGGGAAGACATCCAGATGTCACGGGAGCAGGGCGGCTGTCTGAGCTGATATGCGAGATATGAAGAATATGTCTCCGTTAGTTTGTCACCGTTAGCAGCCGTTAGCAGCCGTTAGCAGTCTTTAGTAGCCGTTGCAGCCGTTAGCAAACACAACAACAAAAACAGTCCAATCTACAGCAACTGGTAACAATACATATTATAACCTGTATTAAGTGTTTGAACGTATAACTGTATGGTTGTGTGATGTGTTTCTAACTCTTCTGTTTGATGGAGCTAATAACGGTTAGCTGTCAAAGAGCTGTTTGTGTTGCTGAGTCACGTGATTCTAGTTCTCCACTTAGCAGTTTCCATAAAGTTAGAATTACCCTTTCAAAAAGAACCCATTTTGTGTCAGTGTGTATTTCACCTTTTTGTATGCAAAAGGAATATATACAATTAAAATAAAGTAAATAAAGCTGTCAAATAACACTGCAATGCAGTGGCATCAGAGTACTCATAAGTACTCAGATCTTGTACTTACTATATCAATCAATCAATCAATCAATCAAATATATAGCCCAATATCACACATTTGACTCACCTTGTAGTTGAGTAGAAGTAGAAGTACTCAGATATTGTACTTGAGTAAAAGTAGAAGTACTCAGATCTTGTACTTGAGTAAAAGAACATATACATTTTGAATTACAAATGTACAGTAACAAAATATAAAGCAGGTTATTATATATACATAAGTATTTGAGGAATGGAATATTAAATAGAATATAAATAATAATAATACACACAATAATACAGTAAAAAGAAAGTATAATCAGTACTGCACAGGTTATACAGCTAAGGAATTGTTGGTATTGCACAGTTGAAGATGGTGTAAGCCTCTGATGCTCTGAAACCTTATTGTCTATATTTTCCACAGAGCGGAGTTGAGGC